TATTCCGATGAAGGGCGCACTGCTCTGGGGCCGGGATGCGGTCTACAATATGACGCTACGTCGAAACGAGAAATGAAGGCAGAAAGTGCGCCGAGACTGTACTGATCGGGCTAAAAACTGGATTCTCACAAAGAGCGTTCCTTCTGCCAACCTCATTAAAAGGCAGGTAGAGTGAAATGCATTCTCTTATGGCACAGGTGTAAGATGGTCAGGCCAGGCCTTAGTCGAAGTTCCCCAGTTACAGGGAACGCGTCGGACACCATCTCGTCCTCTCGTGGCGGATAATTGTGTTGAAGCCTGAAGTGCATATCAAAACGTGAAAGCTGCAGGTAACGCAAAAAAATCCACTGCAAAGTAGTTTGTTGTGTAGTTGGACCATCATGATTGGTGTGCACTGTTCGAAGCAACACGCGCGACAAAGCCCTCAACATTTGAAAAAGCGCTCAACAATTGAAAAAAAAAAAACTAGCTCATCGCAGACTTGTATGGTGCTTAAAATTTTTTATATCAGCTGTACCATGGTCACTACGAAATACTGCGTGAAAGCTACTTAACTGAGCCCCCCCCCCCCCCCCCCCCATGCGGTCTGGCCGTACAAACCACAACAAAACAGTCAAGCAGCCGTTTAGTAATCTTAATACCCATAAGTGTTCCCTTTTTCCTCATGCTATATCACAATGGAATAAATTGCCCGTAGAAGTAGTAAACGCAAATACAACTGAATCGTTTGTTCAGTTTTTAAATAACCTTTCATTTGATATGTAAAGTTCTGTTTATGCTGAACAGCTTTGTGGCAGTTCATTCTCATCTTCACTTTTTTTATGCATACTGTTCATCTCATGTGTTGTACGTGCATGTTTTATCAATTATAATGTCGTGTGCTTTTGTTATTGCGAAGAATATTTATTCATTTATTTTATTTTGCTTGTTGATCGTGGTTTACTACTTAAGTTATCGAAAGTTGCAAGCTTTATTGTTGGTAATGCTTTTTAATAATATTCTCACTACTGCTTGGGCCCTAGTATAGGGCCTACAGTATTTGTAAATAAATAAAAATAACATAAGTCATCGCACAGTGTACACAGTGGTGCCCCTGTTTTGTTACCATTGCATTTGCTTTTTTATGAGAGCGATGCCTGCGAATAAGTTCACATTGGTTCGAACAAGTGATTCATTGCCTGTAATGTTGCCGCTAATAGACATCGTCACACTCTAGCTAATTTATCTTCCAGTGTGAGCGTGAACTACAGATGTACACGATGGTTTAAATTGATAGTTGTATTCACGAACAGTGTACTTGTGAACACACTATTCGTGGGACTCAGCCGCAGTCGGCGTCATCGGATAGGGAGTACACCTTAGATTATCTCAGTCACACCGAACACTTTGAATCTCTAGCGATTCTGATCGGCCCCGATGTCCGTATCAGAAGTGTGCGGTGTGGCCCCGGAGCAGTAATAAGCGTTTTATCGTGATATCTGGTGCTTTGATGAACATAAATGGAAAAAAAAATTAGGGGACCCTAAAGCTTCGCCCTTTAGGAGTTGAATGCGATAGCGACATCCTGTTCCTACTGTGCGTACTTGAAACACTTAGTGCATGAAACCTTTTTTGAATTTGCTACGCACGTGCCCTTAAGGGAATAGGTGCAGTAGCGTGTGTGCCTGTTGTAGTGGGGTACCGGCCTTCAACCAACTCTGGCTGGTTAGTTTCGAGCATCGAACGCGTTATTCGAAGGTCGTAAGTTCGATTCCTGCTCACGGCTGGTTATTTTTCCCCCATTTTTCTTTCTTCTTATTTACATTCCATTGGGTCTAATAACTGTCCCTGTACATTCCTTGGCATTACTGTCTGTTAGATCTCATATATATATATATATATATATATATATATATATATATATATATATATATATATATATATATATATATATATATCAAGTCCCGGCTGCGGCGGCTGCATTTTCGATGGCGGCCAAAATGCTGTAGGCCCGTGTGCTCAGGTTTGGGTGCACGTTAAATTACACCCTATGGTTGAAATTTTCCGAACCTTCCACCACGGCGTCTCTCATAACCATATGGTGGTTTTGGGACGTTTAACCCCATATATCAATCAATCAATCATTCAATAAATTAATGAATCAATTTTATTTCATTTTCACACGAAAAGAGAGCAGAAGGGACTAAAAGCTGATACAGTTTGACAGTGGTCCCACCCTCTTTTTATAAATAACAGCAGCACATTGCAGATGCATAAAGAATAAGTACAACACACTTACAAGTATAGCTTTCACAGGCATTGGCCTTTAGTTGTTCCTTCTCTGTTTTCTATGACGTGCCGCAAAAGTTTTATCTTTTTGAATCTCGCATGATGTCAAGAAATGCGTCACGGCAAGAAATAAAAAAAAAATATCTCAGCACATCTACGGAGTTAAAGATGATGATTGGGGCGAAGCTTCCGTCAGTGCGTCCATGCTTCCGTTCATCCGCCCATCCGTGTGTACGTCCGTCCGTCCGTACCTCCATCTGTCTGTCTGTTCGTCCATACGTGCGTCCATCTGTCTGTCTGTGTGTCCGCCCATGCGTGCGTTCATCTGTCTGTCTGTCTGTCTGTCTGTCTGTCTGTCTGTCTGTCTGTCTGTCTGTCTGTCTGTCTGTCTGTCTGTCTGTCTGTCTGTCTGTCTGTCTGTCTAGTGAACACTTTAAGTACCACCATCTCACATCTTTTCATCAGCAAGCATCGCCATACAGCGGACATTTTAAGGACTATGGGAGAGGGGGCTACTGCTACAAACACGGGACGTATGACCCATGGCGTAAGGAGCTTCGCCTATAAAACAAAAGAAAAACGTTCAAGACGTGGCTCGGTCTGTCGCCGTTCGTTGTCAACGGCAAAATACCGGCGAGTTGTAACGTTAAAGAGGCTGATCCTACGGCAACGAATCGTTCTATGCGTCAGAAAAAAAAAAAAAAGATGCGCGACTGCACCGGAAATTTCGAAAAGGCAGTCAAGCGTATTCTTTTCTTTTTTCTTCTTTACAACATCGATGATGTGTCCGCCATTTGCTGGTCCGGTTTACGACCTAGAGATGAAGACATGACCACGCTCACGTGGTGGCATCAGGCAATATTAGGAATATGAAGGTGTGCCTAGCTGAACCAATGTGACCATGCATGAGCAAGCCTTATAAAGCTCTTTTGAGCATTGCAAAAGCTAATTAGCTACGCATAAGTAAGCTAATATGTTCACTCTGTAATAAACACTATTTAGGCCGAGCTGAGAACCTTCTATGCCTATAGGAAGCCAAAGCAACGCAAGGTGCCACTGCGACTCCGGACAGGCATTGCCATCTTTGGCGCTGCCTGTCCGGAGTCACGCATTGGAGCCAGGATACTGTTAGGCCGCGTTCACACTGAGCATTCCGGCCGCCGAAAGTGCTCCGAATCCGGTTCGGCGGCGGCGAGATCCGCCGAAAGGGCCCTCTCCGCGCCGATCGCTCTCGGACCGATTTTTGCGGCGTCTGCCGCCGAATCGGTCACCGCGGACCAATAGGAGCGCTAGTCAAGGAATTTTGAAAAATGGCGGCCAAGCCCTACTCACTTGTTATGCCGCAGTGCACGTAACTGAATGTTGAAACCAACGGGAGTTTAACCTACTCTGTGCCTACTTCGCGTCCGTATTTCGTGAAAGAGGTGACCGAGGTTGCTGTTGGCGTGACAGAGCTTGTTGCGGTCTTGCAGAGCAAAACGAACCCACCAACGCCGCTGGCGTCGGTGGTTTTTCTGCTCTTCGTGCATTACAAGACAGCCACTTGCCAGCAAAGTAAGCAGTACTGTCTTTTCTTGCGCACGAGAATCGTCAAAGTATACACCACCGGATAGCGTAGTAGCGTTTGCGAGCCGCGACAACAACCGGGTGACAGCGCATCCATCCCGCGTTCACCCCGTAGTAGATGGCATATTCGGCGGCGCGGGGCGCGTCCAGTGCGAACGACGCTGCGTTTCGGCGGCAGGGGAATTTCGGTCGCTGTAGAAGGCGGATGTTTCAGTGTGAACTATAGGCTTTACGAAAGACGGCGACGTGCACGGTCCTGAAGGCGCCACTGCTACGATCTCCGCTGACACGGTCACCAGCCGTTTGGTAGTGTAGGTTTCTCAGATCGCGGCTGCTTCTGCGCAGATCTGATAGACGAGCGGACGAGACGACGGTGAGTTAAACAAGGTTTATGTACAGCATATATACAGAGGCGTTACAAATTCGGCACTGGGGCCGACAGTTTAAAGACTCGAAGAGCCGGGCTCTCTTCTCTGACACATAGGTCTACTCCTCACGACGCGCCACAGGGCTTTTTTTATATGCACCGGGTGGATTCTTTGAGTAACCAAATGTCCAACCAGAAGCGCCGCTGGCCGTGAGGTCAGAATCCTCCAATGGGGTCGCCGCTGGGCCGCGTCATTCTCGTTGAATCCGGAGCCGCTGCGCGTGGTTGCAGCCAAGGACGCGAGTGACGTCGCCACGCAATGTGTCAGACTCGCCAGACAGGAAGGCGCCGATTGCTTTGACGGGCTCGCTGTGCGTGCGCGACAGAAAGGCACCGCCGCGTGATGACGCCGTTGAGTTGTTCGCGTCAGGCGGGCTCGCGTGCTGGCCTTGACACAGTTTGCCTTTTTCAGATGCATGGACGTTCGCTGTGGACTCGCAGGCATAACAATTCTTTGATTGTACAAACGGAGGAGAGAGTCGAGCATAGCATAGCCATGTGTACAACTTTATAGTGGGAAAGGGAAGTGAGTGGAAGGTGGAGAAGGAAGGACGGTAGCTGTGGAGTACAGTAGAGCGAAAGAGTACGAAGACTTTCATGTACAGTTCACATGCATACATTTAAGCTTTTCTGTGTAACTGCCACAATAAGCAGTGCGCGCTGGCAAGTAACCGTATACATACCTAAGCAGCGCCTTCTTTCATTGGGTTGATACCCATTATCATTTTTTAATTCATTGAGGGGCCTAGCGGGCACGCCAAGCCCCACTACCAAAAATTATATGCCCCATCCACCCCAGTTTGGGTTGAATGACGTGCTTCGGCGACCTGCGGTGATGCAGGAAGCCTCGGCACGGGACCCCGGCCTTGTTGCTCACCGTGGGTCCAGCATAACTCTAACGATGCGTCGTATACTTTTCAAAAGCGGATCATCCTACTGGACTTGGTACATGGCTCTGGTTGCGGGTGCCATTTTTTCAACCTAAAAACGCTTGTGAGCGTCGAAACGCCCTAGAAATCACACAGTTCAACAATTTTCCCTTCTGATTACAAACCTGTTATCTCAATTGACCTCTCCCTGTTTGTAAACAGTGTGACGTCACTGCGAACCCCCCGCCCACCATACCCTCTCTCGGAGCAGATGGTGGTTGGCAAGGAAGTTCCGCCGGCGGCATCTTTCTACATAGCAGAGCTGCGTGTCTACATTCATTCGACAGAAATTTTTACATTTCTATGTTCTAAAGTCATAGCTTTTGAAAGAAGGGGGTCGCGGAAGTGTCACTGCTCATAGTGTGGAAATTTGCTTGTCGTAGATGGATGTATGGAGAAACTCATTTAAAGTACTGAGAGACGCGACTAGCACCCAGTGGGCTTCACCCACCTAGATGGCCACCATAAAAAAATCTGATCTTTTTCGAGAGCGAACGCTTTGAAAGTACATGGTGACTGGCACTTTGAGAAATATTTGCATGGCATGGATGTAAGCTTATTCAATTTCCATCGTGGCATGTGCAATGCAGTTTTAAACGAGATGCAGCATTGGCAGCAGCAAGGTTTTGAGCTGCTGTGCGCGACGTCACGGATGAGATTCTCACTCATTGCGCAAAAGTCTGATCGGAGATGAATGAAAAAAACAAAAGAAGCACTTCTTGCCGTGCGTTAGGCTGAGGTTAACATATCCTCGTAAAAATTAAAGTGAAATCCTACCGCTGCGTTTCGCAATAACCCAGTGAAAATTCATGTAATGTAAAACCCGACAACCTAATAATATATAGTATTATCTAACACAGTTACCTTGCTGCGTTTGACACCTATAACGTGTTTTTTGATACATATATTGCTCCTTTATGCCTGATACACAAACTTCTAATGCGTGATTGTGACTTAGTAAGGATGGAGCCGCAAAAGTACAAAGTAGATTAGAAACGAAAATTTCCGCTGTTTCCATTAACACATGTGAGGTATCCGATAATACGACTTATAGCCGTGGTGAAGCGTATATGCAGATTCGGCGGCGCTACAACATGCTCATAGCTCATGAGTAGTCGTAAATATCACCCGGAGATCATGCACTTTTATTTTTCTGCGCACCACACATACGCTGATATGTACGCACTCGCAGATGATCACGTCAAATGCATTTTTACCTTGACTAAATTGTCAAATCGTAAAGTTCTATCGGCAACTAGTTACTGCAACCGGTCCACAACGAATATCAGTGTTTTCGCAAACAGCTAGGACGCATCACGTTATTCACACTGCGCACACCACTCAGAATATTCTCAGTTTCACCGTCCTTAAAGGGGAAGCAATATTGTCGATGTCTTTCAACGCACACTACATGCCACAGTCAACACTGCCCATTTTCGAAGACGATGCCTCTGTTCCTCGCACAGGCCGCCGCCTGTGTTCACTTCTCTGAGGTAAACAGCCAGCCCGCGTGGCAACATTACCACACACATAGATGTTCTCTGGGACATATTACAGCTAATGTTGCCACTGTGATATGAAGATTAAGCTTTCAAAAAGAAAAAAGAAAACTCCCTCCAAGCATCGTGACTATCTGGCAAAACGTGCTCATTGCGCCATCGTAGGGTCTAGAGAAAAAGTTTCAGGGTCTAGCCGCTCTGATATACGAAACAGAACCTCCTTTTATTGATTATGTACATGTTTTATATAACCATGAGTGAGTGTACCCTCTGGAGATGAAAGAACAGAAGCGAAGCCGAGACTCAATGAAACTTCCTTCCTTATTTTCAGTGGTTAGTTGTTAGTACGTATTAGTAACAAAAACCTAAGTATACACTACTGCAGCACATTAAACAGAAGATACACAGTTCAGACCATGAACTAAATGTCTGTCTAAGACTCCTGAAGCGAAGCGGTGGCCGGCGTCTTCGGGTTGGCCGCCCTGAATGCTGCATGTCGAAGTTGGTTGCTTCAGTACAAAAGATAGTGAGTGCATCCCAGAAGGCAGCTGCAGCACAAGCTGCACTACGCCAGGAGACGGCGACCGTGACTCGCCAGGTTGCAGTATACCAAGAGGCTGCGGAGGTGGCACGGCAGGTTGCTGCGCACCAGGAAACTGCGGCTGTGGCACGGCAGCTTGCCGCGCACCAGAAGACCATGGCAGCGGCACGGCAGGTCTCAGGACAACAGGAGACCACGACTGCAGCACGGCTGGTTGTTGCCTGGCCGGCCGTGGTACCGGGACTGGGGACTGCGACACAGGTAGGTTCGACGGGCAGCAAACACCCCTCTTAGGAACCCTGAACAGCTTGGAGGCATTCCAAGTACGGTCATATCAAGCCGTTAAAACGCTGGTCCTTTCTTTTCTAACACTTCAGTTTGTAAGGAGAAGGAGCAGTCACCCTTAAAGGTAACGGTTGGGTTCTTGACAGGGACAGTGTCTCCTACAGCTATGCTAGGCTTCTGGGGAGCTCTCCTTCTATCCGCCTAAATGTTGTTGCTGTGTTGTTGACGGTGGACCCTACGACGATCTCACGCCAACTCTGTAGCTTGTTCCTTAGTGAATGCTGATGCTGAGAGGCTAATGGCAGGCAGCCAGCCTTGTTCGGGGCGTTCTATGAAGTAGAACGGCAGGGCCAACGCCAATGAAGTAGCCCTGTATATTGCAAGGTAGTCCATGACTGCTTGCCGAAGGGGTCGTCCTTCGAGTAGTGAAACTTGAACAAAGTTTTTGAATGTTCGGTTTAACCATTGTATTTGTCCATTTGCGGGGGTAGTACACTAATGAATGCAGCAGTTGGATAACACTACCTTCGAGAAAGATATATAAATGCATGTGAAATGAACTCAAATCAATAGTCGCAAACGATTTCATCGGGATACTCTTCGTGAGCAAAAAAACTTGTCAAGTGTTTCACTGTGCTTTTGGATACCTCACGACAAAGACACACCTCTGGCCACTTGAAGTGGTTATCCACAAGCGTTATGGAAAACCTGCTGTTGTGAGGTGCACGCTACAAGGGATCAACAATATGTAAGGCGAGCTTTTGCCATGTGCTTGTAAGCCATTCAGCAGGTTGCAATAGAGCTGGAGAAGTCCTGGCAGATTTATTGGGTTCCAGGCAGATGGGAAAATTTTGTCACTGCTTTTTCCACTTCTTTATCCATTCGCAGCCGCCAGAACCACTCATGAATTCGCGCTTTATTGCGCTTGGTACCAAGATGCTTCTCGTTTGCGCTGGAAATGATCTGCACAGTGAGGGAGGATGGAACCACAAGGCAATCTGCACGCAGCACAAGATAATCTATAACAGAAAGTTCCTCTCTGATAAAGTTTAACGGCGTCACATCTTCTGGTAAGGTTTGTGTGGCAGCCAGGAACTCAGCACAAACAACGTGACAGCGTCTAGGCAACAATTGTCGAGAACACGCTGCCTGAGCTTTTTCTTTGCCACACAGGCTGGCTCAACAAGCGACACAATTTCTTTCTTCTTTTTGAACTGTGCTTCTGATGTAGGGGCTGGCAGGCGAGAAAGTGCACCTGAAACAGTGTTCATGGACACTTACGGAATCCAACAGTGAAGTGATAACACACAAGTCTTGCACGCCAGCGCACAATTCGAAGCGGGCCTTTTCGAGGTCCCTGTGATGAGCGGAAAGACACAAGTGCCTGATTATTTGTTTGAATTTTAAAATAGCAACCCTATAGGTATGCGTTCCATTGCTCACAAGCCTAAATACATGCTATCGCTTTTCTTTGCCCAACCTAATACTTTCTCTTTGATTGGCACAGCGCACTCGATGTGAAAGCGACTGTGCGAAGCTCTTGGCCATCTTGTTGCCGAAGAAATGCTCCCAGCCCATAGTCAGAAGCATCTTTCGACATGATGACTGGAAGTTTCTGATTGAATATTTGAAGAAGGGACTCAAATAAGGCATTATTTTCACCCTTCTGAAGCACCTGTCTGCTTCCGCCGACCGGAAGAATGCCTCATTTTCGCGAAGAAGGACTCGCATAGGCTCGACCACTTGTACCAAACGTGGAACAAGAATCCAGGGGTATTCAACAAGGCCCAAAAATGAACAGAGGGCAGCAACGTCATTTGGCACAGATCATGATGCTGCCATCTTCCTTGTGAACAACGACAATGGCGGACACCCACTCAGAAGCATCGATGCGTACGATGATGTCAAGGCTTTGAAGCTCATTTGGCACTGGCACACGTTTTATTACATCTACTTTTTGTTTCGTTTGCTTATAGACTTTTCTTTGACTTTTTCTGTGCCTTTGCTATTTTTCCTTACTCATATATTGTTCTTTGTGCCACATGGTTTTTGTCACATGGTTTATTGTCTCCTCTATATATTTTCGCGCTCTGCGCAATAAACCTAGTTTGAAGAAAGCACTCGTGTCCTTCGTGTCCTTCTTGTCTGTGTGTCGTCGTTCTCTTCTCGCGCTATAACTATCGTCATGTCATACAATCAAGTCCAGGCTGCCACACTCCTAAGTTACTTTTCTAGTTATTTCGGCTCTTTTTTGTGTGTTTCTCTTCATCAATCAGTCCTCATAACCCTTATCACAGATGATAGTTTTAGCACGAGAACAAAACGACGACACAGAGACAAGAAGGACACGAAGGACACGAGCGCTCGTTTTCATCGTGTCTCTCTTATCTCTGTGTCGTCGTTTTGTTTTCGCGCTATATCTATCGTCATGCCATACCAACTAGCCCGAGCTGCCACACACCTCATCGCAGCCCCCATTGCCGTGCGCGCACCTTTACCTTCTGCATTCGCACAAAGATCCTGCATCTCGACGTTAAAGCCTTGCTTTGAGGTTCTGACCTCTCTATCAGCCATGGTATACGGGTGTGCAAAATTCTTCGGTTCAATGACACCAACAAGAGCGCACGTACCACAACGCCCTGT